CTAGAGATGGAGTTAGTGTGAGTGGCTAGTGCTAGAGATGGAGCTAGTGTGAGTGGCTAGTGATAGAGATGGAGCTAGTGTGAGTGGCTAGTGATAGAGATGGCGCTATTGTGAGTGGCTAGTGTTAGAGATGGAGCTAGTGAGAGTGGCTAGTGTTAGACATGGAGCTAGTGTGAGTGGATAGTGATAGAGATGGAGCTAGTGTGAGTGGTTAGTGATAGAGATGGAGCTAGTGTGAGTGGCTAGTGATAGAGATGGAGCTAGTGTGAGTGGCTCGTGATAGAGATGGAGATAGTGTGAGTGGCTAGTGATAGAGATGGAGCTAGTGTGAATGGCTAGTGATAGAGATGGAGCTAGTGTGAGTGGCTATTGCTAAAGATTGAGCTAGTGTGAGTGGCTAGTGCTAGAGATGGAGCTAGTATGAGTGGCTAATGTTAGAGATGGAGCAAGTGTAAGTGGCTAGTGTTAGTGATCGAGCTAGTGTGAGTGGCTATTGCTAGAGATGGAGCTAGTGTGGGTGGCAAGTGTTAGACATGGAGCTAGTGTGAGTGGCGAGTGCTAGAGAGGGAGTTAGTGTGAGTGGCCAGTGTTAGAGATGGAGCTGGTGTGAGTGGCTAGTGCTAGAGATGGAGCTGGTGTGAGTGGCTAGTGCTAGAGATGGAGCTAGTGTGAGTGGCTAGTGTTAGAGATGGTGCTAGTGTGAGTGGCTAGTGTTAGAGATGGAGCTAGTGTGAGTGGCGAGTGATAGAGATGGAGCTAGTGTGAGTGGCTAGTGATAGAGATGGAGCTAGTGTGAGTGGCTAGTGATACAGATGGAGCTAGTGTGAATGACTAGTGCTAGAGATGGAGTTAGTGTGAGTGGCTAGTGCTAGAGATGGAGCTAGTGTGAGTGGCTAGTGATAGAGATGGAGCTAGTGTGAGTGGCTAGTGATAGAGATGGCGCTATTGTGAGTGGCTAGTGTTAGAGATGGAGCTAGTGAGAGTGGCTAGTGTTAGACATGGAGCTAGTGTGAGTGGCTAGTGATAGAGATGGAGCTAGTGTGAGTGGTTAGTGATAGGGATGGAGCTAGTGTGAGTGGCTAGTGATAGAGATGGAGCTAGTGTGAGTGGCTCGTGATAGAGATGGAGATAGTGTGAGTGGCTAGTGATAGAGATGGAGCTAGTGTGAATGGCTAGTGATAGAGATGGAGCTAGTGTGAGTGGCTATTGCTAAAGATTGAGCTAGTGTGAGTGGCTAGTGCTAGAGATGGAGCTAGTATGAGTGGCTAATGTTAGAGATGGAGCAAGTGTAAGTGGCTAGTGTTAGTGATCGAGCTAGTGTGAGTGGCTATTGCTAGAGATGGAGCTAGTGTGGGTGGCAAGTGTTAGACATGGAGCTAGTGTGAGTGGCGAGTGCTAGAGAGGGAGTTAGTGTGAGTGGCCAGTGTTAGAGATGGAGCTGGTGTGAGTGGCTAGTGCTAGAGATGGAGCTGGTGTGAGTGGCTAGTGCTAGAGATGGAGCTAGTGTGAGTGGCTAGTGTTAGAGATGGTGCTAGTGTGAGTGGCTAGTGTTAGAGATGGAGCTAGTGTGAGTGGCGAGTGATAGAGATGGAGCTAGTGTGAGTGGCTAGTGATAGAGATGGAGCTAGTGTGAGTGACTAGTGCTAGAGATGGAGCTAGTGTGAGTGGCTAGTGTTAGAGATGGAGCTAGTGTGAGTGACTAGTGCTAGAGATGGAGCAAGTGTGAGTGACTAGTGCTATTGATAGAGCTAGTGTGAGTGACTAGTGCTATTGATGGAGCTAGTGTGATTGGCTAGTGTCAGAGATGGGGATCGATTGAGAGGGAAAGTGGGAATGGATATTGTCACCGTTGGGGGCTATTCCTGTGACCTGCAATGAAAAGGGGAGGTCTTGATTTGAAGCTTTCGTGACTACAGGAATCCATACTCTTTGGTTCTTCAGGTAAAATTACGTATAAATAATAAATCACGACGTTTCGGGCGCAACACAAGCGTCCGTCATCAGGTGGGAAAGCGATGACGGACGCTTGTGTTGCGCCCGAAACGTCGTGATTTATTTAATTTTATTTCTACCTACGTGACTTTACCGAAAAACCCAAAGAGTGTGGATTCCTTCAGTCACAAAAGTTTCAAATCAATACATTGAATGCAGTATTTGGGTGTTTGTTAAACGCGCGCTGTGGAATGCAAAATGTTAACAGCATCTGAACCTGCTGTTACACGAGGGAATTGGCATTAAGCACTGCCGTCTTCAATCCCAACAGTCAGTGTGTAACAATTAATATATTAATTGGTCACACGCGCATATATGCACATGTATAAATATATGTATATTTTCAAGAACGTTTCTCTGCAGTCGCTCACAAATATGACCATAAGTGCATCGTGCATTCTAAATGTGAACGATATAACGCTGAACAATAATCATGGACAATACAACCGATTTAACCATTTTCAAATACTTACATAATTTTGGATTATCCGTTAATAATTGATGTGCTTCTCTTCAAATGAGTGTTGATCAAAAGATGCCTCCTGGTTTAGTTTGCTGGGAATGACCCTTTGAAGAGTGGCAGCTCTCTCACTAATTGAGTGAAAGCTGCTCTAATTGGATGAGCCTCCCATTTCCATACTCTTTGGTTCTCTCGGTAAAGTCACGTAGGTATAAAATAAAATAAATCACGACGTTTCTGGTGCAACACCAAGCGTCCATCATCAGGTGGGAAAGCGATGGCCTGCTGCTGAGGCAGACTGTTTTAAAAGGTTTGAAATGGTTGTAGCCCAAGGGTCATAAAGAAGTGGCCGGGTCTAGTGATGTTAAAGTGAGAAATTAGCGTGTAACTGTAAGATATTAGGAGAGCGGCCTCCTAAACGAGGGCACGGAAGTGGCTATGTTAATGTGAGAGATTAGCATGATGTTAATGTGATAAATTAGCACTTTAACATCACTAGCCCCGGCCACTTCTTTATGACCCTTGAGCTACACCCATTTCAAACCTTGTGCCCGAAACGTCGTGATTTATTTTATTTTATACCTACGTGACTTTGCCGAAAGAACCAAAGAGCATCCAATGGATTCTTGGATTTGCATGTGCGGAGATTTGAGTGTAACCCCCTCGTACGCGGCGTGGTGAGGCTTCTCAGGGGTTCTTCGGGTGCCTCGAACGCGAAGCCAAACGCCTCACGAATGGAACTGCCCCAACATTCCACTCGAGCAACGGCCCTCCCTCATAAAGAGTCTCGAGATTCAGCGGAAGCTTTCGTGGCGAAACGAAGGATTTTTAAAACGAAGTGATGTCAATCTAGATTTGGGGCTTTCGTGACTGCAAGAATCCACCCTCTTTGGTTCTTTCGGTAAAGTCCACGCAGGTAGAAAATAAAATAGATCACGACGTTTCGGGCGCAACACTGGCGCCCGTCATCAGGTGGGAAAGAACCAAAGAGTATACGGTTGATATCATTTAATTATCATACGCGGAGATCGTTTGCTTGGTGCGTGTCCATTATCGGGCTCTCTAACAGCACTTGCACCTATACAGCCGTGTGTGAAAGACCGTGAGCGTGTTGGGAGCGTCAGCGTGGCTGTTAGCGCACCGCGTTACGAACGCAGCGTCCCGAGCTCGAATCCGCTTCTAAACGAAGATGCTCTTGTTGTTTTACCAGGTAAGGTAATGATAGCCCAATGAAGTGGTTTATTACGTGGAAATGTATCGTAGCCAAATTCTCTAAACGTATGTTTCTAAATGTCGAGGGGAAAATTCCACGCGACCACGGGGTGAGAGAGACACCGCAAACTCCAAATATACAGCAGCAGGCGTCAGGGTCGGAGTCTAACCCACGATCTCCCGTATCCGCCACCGCAGCACCCCGATTCATCGCTAACATTAGTGGCAAATGGTAGCAGAATCTGCCTCCCCTAGGTCGACTCAGCCATAAACGAATACCCGGCGCGATGTGTCAACAACAACGCTGGGGGAGACAAAGGCGGTCGCGCTTGGTGCTGGCCGCACTATCCCCTCGGGCTCCGTTCCGGTCCTTGATTAGGTGCTCGCGAACTGCACTTGCCCCAACAGCTTGTGTAGCCTACACGGGGAATCGTTGTCTTTGTTGATAAAGGTACGTGCGTGGGTTTGCAACGAAGGCGTGGAAATGTGCAGTTTCGAAATAAATGAACTCGATGACGCAAGAGGTAGAACCCTTTACATACCTCCCACACATAGAGACTAAGACAAAGTCCCCCCGTATAGCCTTAACAGACTGTTGGAGCAAGTGCACCTATGAAGGCTGGCACGGCACACGAGGGGGTGGGTGGTCAGCACCACGCCTGCCCGCCTTTGTATCCTTAGTGGCGATATTGACACAACGCATCAGGTACTCATTTGAGGCTGAGTCGACCAAAGGAAGGCCTGAGACCGGTTCAAATAATCGTCACTGGTGTTGTCCGTTAGCGGGAATTGAACTCTGGTCGTCAGGTTCGTAGTGCAGCGCGTTTACCACTACACTACCGCTCCCCCATGCGCATACACAAATATGAAGACAAAGATCCCCTGTATAGCCTTAACAGACGATTGGAGAAAGTGCTGTTAGCGAGCACCTATGAAGACCGGCATGGTACACGAGGGGGTGGATGGCTAATACCACGCCCGACCGCCTTTGTCTGCCGAGTGGCGATGTTTACACATAACACAAGGTACTCATTTGAGGCTGAGTCCACCTAGGGGATTCCTAGGGCCGGTTCAAATAATCATCACCGGTGTTGGTCGTGAGCGGGAATTGAAGTTGGGGTCCTTCCCCTGCACCTCCAATTATCACGGTTGGCTACGTACGGTGCGAAAGAAGTTCAACATGAATACGGGTCGTCGGGTTCGAAGCGCAGCTCGCTAACTACTATGCCACCGCTCCCCACATAAGCACACACACCTACAAAGATACACACACACACGCACGCACACGGACACCCGTTCGCCCTCCCCCGCCTCGCCCCGACTATAAAACCACAGGTGTTCCCACCGAGAACAGGACCAGGCAAGAGCCAGACCGAAGGTGTCACCTCCACAGAGGACTGCCTCTTACTTTCCCGCACACACAGACCCATAGAGCCGGTATATAAGCGCGTTTTGAGCCCGTTGCATTGAGCCGGTGTATACAGCGCCGTGAGACGGCTCACTGAATCGACATTTTACTGAGTTTTGAAACCGGTTCGCTCCGGTGTTATACCACTGCTCTTTGAAGCCGGTACATTAAGCGGGTATATTGCTGCGTTTTGAGTTAGGTACATTGAGCCGGTCGATAACTGCTCTTGGACTACCGGTATATTGAGCCGGTATTATTAAGGCAGCCGGTGGCTGCCCCATTGATCCCTGGAGAAGCTTCAGCACCACGCGGTGGTGGACAGCGCCTCCACGTGCAGGTGAGAGATTTCACAGCACACGCTCCCGAACGTGCGTCGCTCTGTCTGGCCCCCTATCCAGCTATCTATAGATCTGTTATCGCGGTATCTAAGATCAGCACAGATACTGGCATGTTGTACTCCAGAGAACATAATCATTAATATAGTTGGCATCATCATCCACACACTTACAAAACAGCACGGTGCATATAGTCATAATTTACTCAAACACGATTACATTGCATATATTCATCATAAAACACACAATAATCATGACGATCATTATCCGCAAGTATGCCTATGATCATCATCCACACTTAGCATCAGCATCCTTACATACAGATCATCATCATCATCCGCACATCTTATATAGACGATTGTAAGCGATGTCAATTCCAGTATTGTTCCAGGAGGGCAAAAAAGCTTAGATGTGACACAAGCATATTAAATTATACATGTTAGTTTTAGAGCATAATTCTACGACAGTTTGTAACTGGAGGCTTTGAAGGATGATTCAATGGAACATGAAATCGGATATTAAATTTAATGTACGATTTCCATTATGAGAGAATACAGTTATTGGTAACCATTGGAGTATGACACGATGCCGGCAGGAAGTAGGGCGATGCTCACTAGAAAACATAAAATCGTCATAATCCACACGTACACATATAATTACTTATCCTCATCTCCACATTCACCTTCATCATCATCCCCACGTACACAACGCTGGGCGGCGGTTGCTATGCACTCCTGTAGTCTAGCACTGTGGAGGGGCAGCTAGGGCTGGTGGATCGCACAAATGTCTTAAGACTCCCCGTGGGCGTCGATGGCTTGCCAGAAGGCGTAGGTACAGCAAATGTGAACTCCACATGTTCCATCTGGATGGGATAGTTGCGTTGTCCCTTTGCACGCTTGGGTTTTATTTTTTTCCCCCGGGCGTTCCGGTTTCCTCCCACACTAATTTGCCGATAACAACCTTCATATATAGAGGGCCGCAGAGCTTGGGCAATTGTTGGCGCCGACTCACAGCGTGGCTGCTGCCTTCCTGCTTGTCCGTGGATCCTCCTCGTGCCTCTGAGTCATTGTCTTCGAGAGTGAGCCACAACTGCGGCGGGGCGTTCCAAGTGGGAAGTATGATGATTATAATATAAAGACACAAGTATCATAAACTACGACCCAATGAACTTGAATGCACACGACCTCGTCAGATCCCGGAAGCTAAGCAGGTTTGAGCCTGGTTAGTACTTGTACGGGTGACCACCAGCGTTTGCAAGGTGCCCAGTCGATGGCAGTGATCTTCGGTTTTCCTCCCGCGTGCCAATCATCTATTGCAGGACCCTCCTTCAAAGGAGTCTTGACACAGTGAGGCTCTCCTGGATAAATGATGATCATTGTTACAATTATTATCATCATGATTAGCCGAACATAACAATCTTCATGTACGCATACATAGGTCGTTTGCAGGTTTGGTAAATGTGTTCTGTTTGCTTTGTAATCTTTCCTCGCACTTTCAACCCTGTATCCAGTGCTATGCTACACAGTACGGCCGATGATGGCGATAACGCATACATATAACATCATAATTATCGGTCGTACACGCATCCTTATATCATCGTCACCCACATGCGTACACATGAACACCATCACTCGCACACGCGCGTTGACCGCATTATAACCACCGTGCACACAACCAACATCATCATCATCATTGTCGTCATCTTCCCCATCGTTTCGCACGCACGGCCGCGTGTTTCTCAGAGCCCGCGGGCGTCCCCTGCGAATCGCAGCTTCAAGCCATGCAGGAGAGGCGCGGCGCACGCTGCGGGGAAGCGATGCTGATGGTGATGCTGCTGCTGCTGGTGGTGGTGGGTCTCAGAGGGGCTGCCTCGCTCCCGGCTCAACCGCGTGCGTCCCCATTCCTCCCGCCTCGGGCTGGGGTCCCCAAGGCAGTGGACCTCCTACGCCTCCCTCTCGTCTGGGGGGAGGAGGACACGGCAGGTGAGGGCCGGGGGGGGGGGACGAGAGGGGTGGGAGTTGGGGGGAAGAGACGTTTGTAGAGAGGGGGAGGGGAAGGCAGGCAAGACATTGGATGTGAAAGTGGGAGATGGAGATAAGACAGGAGAGAGAATAGAGCGGGATACACTTGGACAGAGAGGAGAGATAAACTAAACTATCTTTTATTTTACTGGGTAAGGCCCACTGAGCTATACAGCTCTTTTTTTTCAGAAGCGACCTGGCCACAAACGGTAGCTCAACGAAGCGAGGGAGAAGAGGAAAGGGGGAGAAGAGAGAAAAGAGATACGAGATAGAAATAGAGCGAGATGAAGAGAGTGAGACGAGACACGTGGAGAGTTAGAGGGAGAGGAGGGGAGGTTTGGAGGCGATTTAAAAATAGCAACATTGATGAGGATGGTGATAGTGGTGAAGTGATGTTAGCTACTGCTGCTGAGTCGCCCTTCACAAAGAGCTTCATGGCTCAATGGGCTTTACTCGGGAAATACACTTCTGGTTCTTGTGATTATGATAGCGATGTCATTGTTGATGATCGTACGAGCGATGCTTGTTATGATGATGATGAATTAATGAGAGTTCAAGTCGTCACGTGACATCAGCAATTGCAGTCAAAACCTTAACGAGCTCTCGATCTGTTGATGTCTCCGTACAGGGGCCCTCTACGCTCTCAGAGGTCGACTCCCTCGCCTCTTCCTCCCCGGGCCCAACCGGTATAGACGCGGTATCGTCGGAATCAACACCGTGTCCCGCGATCGAACCCACGACCTCCGGGGAAGAGTCCCACCACCTCGCATGTGAGTTCCCGCGACCAAGACTGGCTTGTGTTTGGGATTCGGGCTCGAGTGGGACTAGAACTCGAGCTGCCCAGGTGAGTCAGCATTTGTCTCGATGGGGTAGACACCTAGGCAGAAACCATATAGGTCGGCATATAAACGCCTAGGTGAGTGAGTGAGCGAGCACCTGGGTGAGTGGGTGGGTGAGTGGACATCTGGGTGGGTGAGCACCTGATTGAGTGAGTGAGCACTTGAGTGGGTGAGCACCTGAGTAAGTGGGTGAGCACCTGAGTGAGTGGGTGAGCACCTGAGTGAGTGGGTGAGCGCATTGGTGGGTGAGCACCTGAGTGCGTGGGTGAGCACCCGAGTGGGTGGGTGAGCACCTGAGTGGGTGAGCACCTGAGTGGGTGAGCTCCTGTGTGGGTGAGCACCTGAGTGAGTTGGTGAGCACCTGAGTGGGTGAGCACCTGAGTGTGTGGGTGAGCACCTGAGTGGGTGAGCACCTGAGTGTGTGGGTGAGCACCTGAGTAAGTGGGTGAGCACCTGAGTGAGTGGGTGAGCACCTGGGTAGGTGGGTGAGTCACTGAGTTGTCATGCGTCGCCCTCCCCCCTTGCCCTGCCGCAGCTCTGCGCGACACGTGGACGGCTTCTTCACGCATCGCTACAGCAAGCTGCTGGGGGAGGAAGCGGCGAGACATGCGCTCCGCGCCCTCCTCACCGGGGCTCGCAGGTGCGCACTCACCTGTCCACTCACCTGTACACTCACCTGTACACACACTCGCCTGTACAGTCACCTGTACACACACTCACTGACCTTACACTCACCTTTAGACACACTCACCTTTACACACACTCACCTGTACACACAAAGACAAAGATCCCCTGTATCGCGTTAACATACGGTTGGGGCAAGTGCTGTTAGCGAGCACCTATGAAGGCCGGAATGGCACACAAGGCGGTGGGTCACCAGTACCACGCGCGACCGCCTTTGTATCCCTAGTGGCGATGTTTACACACCGCACTCGGAACTGATTTTGAGGCTGAATCGACCTTCGGGGAGGCATTGTTGTTGACCACGAGCTTGAATTGATCTCGGGTCGCCAGGTTCGTCGCGCAGCGCGCTAACCGCAGCACTACCACCACCATCACCAACCACCAGGGACGAGGTCGCAGATGATGGCAGCGAGCGACGGATACCGCTCAGACGGGAGGCACGTGGCTTCTGGGTCAACGGCGAGGACGACAACAGCGACAGCGGTGATGAGCAGCAGCAGCAGCAGGACGGGTGGCCCCACCATACAGGCCGCTCCAAGTCCCCCCAGCAACGACCTCGATCCAGACCCCAACCTCAAAGGCGATACTTTGAGGACGCTCGCTTGGACCAAGAGTTCATGACCCCCCTTCAGTACTGAATGCCAGCTCCCCCCCCCTCCCCACCGTGCTCCGCTGAACGCGGGCTGCGTGAATCATCTTATTTATTAAATGTTTTCATTAATATTGATGTCGTCACACCCTAGGTGTACGTTTATAGAAAGCGTTGTCGGTGTGCGTCTGCGTGCAAAGGCGTCTGCTCGTACAGAAACCCGAGCGGATTGTAGACCGTGGTCTCACGGTCGAACGAGCGGTGGCTCTCGGGAGGTTACTGGACGATGACATCGGTTGGTCGAAGCGAGACCTTCGAGAAATCTCTCGTGGAGTTTTACCAACTCCAATGATGGCAGCCAAACAATCTGCAACCAACCCATGGGGCATTTAAGTAAATCAGTGAGTTGACGTTTAAAAACGAAACTATTTATATATTTATTTGACTAGCTAAGGCCCACTGAGCTATGTAGCTATTTTTCAGAAACGACCTGGCCACAAATGATAGCTCAACAAAGCGGCTTATCACGTGGACATTTATAGCAGCCAAATACTCTCAAGCGCACGATAATTCTAAATGTGGAGGGAAAAACCAGAGGACCCGGACAAAAATCTCCAGTGTCGGGCGAGAGGATTGTTGAAGTGACGTAATAATTCTGTGATGTCATCTTCTGAACATTCCCCTGATATGAATTTTACCGATCGACGGAGTTTATAAAGCACATTTATATATAAAAAAAATACAAGCATGTATGGCAGTGATGCTGGTTATTGTTAAATCGAGTGACACCAGACAACTTAAAAAGTGGTTAAAAATTGATTGAATGAAGTTAAATGGCTTGTGGAAAGGCAAGGCTTTAAGTGGATGTCGCAAATTCCACAAGCTGGTGTTGGTGTCATTCACATTTCGTCCGTTCACATTAAAAACGAAACGCTTGAACGACGTGTCAATTGTAAACAAGAGTGAGGCCGAAAGGTGGATTGGTGGTGATGAAATAAACACTCTAAAAACTTCACAGCATTCCCTCAAGTGTAATTCCATTAAACCGGATTTGACGTTTAAATGTGATAGTTTGGGAGCGACTGAGGAGCTTTGTCAAGTGTTGTAGATGTCAACGGGGAATCGGATATTGCGATGAGTGGGGCACATGGCCTCCTGGACATCTGTGAAAAAGAGCTTCATCGCTCATCGGATCCCTCCAGTTAAAATAAAGATGCTGATTCTAACGTGTGGAGGATGGATGAGGACAGGACATGGAAACGGGCATTGGGGTGGCACCCAGTGGTCAGTGACCAAGGGCAAGAACTCAAGTCAGATGATGGTGATGAGACTAGGGCTGGCTCTTGAAGGAAATACTGACTGGTGGTGGTGATGAGACTGCCAGAACAGGCATTGAAGGATCAGGTGTTGACTTTACTACAACTAGGGGAATCTAATGGAAATTGGCAAGGTGGTGCTATTAATTGCATTGGTTGTGATGACCTCTAGACACCGACTGGTTATAAGAGCCACAAGAGACTGAGATTTCCAAGCCAAGAACACAAAATGGTTTACAAGCAGCCTTGCAAGACAAAACACACACACACAGGTTCACGCTGGCAACATTGATGCTCACAACACGTTTCTTTAGTTTTCCAATTTTATTTTGTGAAAGCCAACATCCATCCAGCTGCACCATCGCGCGATAAAGAGCCAGAAAATTCATTAAATTAAGGGTCTTTTCGACTTTGCTGAAATGATATTTTTTGCGTGATGCTTCATTAATATTTTCGCTGTTCACTTAATGAGGGCACGACATTGGTATGGGATCGGATGTCCCTCCCGTGAAAAGAATCACAAAATCCCCACCTCACCGTTCGATAAACTCGCATCTCGCTCGTTCAGAGAACGAGTGCAGACGCCGAGTGTATGCGGAGCCTCGTTGCCATGCGACCCCCAGCAGTTCCCGTCTTCTGCTGCCTCAATGCTGCCTTCAATCCTCTGTCCCAACACCGATCCCAGCATCGCCATAACCCGACCCTAACCCAGATCCCAATGACCCGATTGTCAGCCCCAGCCAGGCCTCCCTCCCTCCACCTCCCCTAACAAAAAAGACCCCCCCCCCCCCCGATCCTTTATGCACAACTCCCATCATCCCCTTTTTCAGATCACGGTTTAATCCTCGTGGGAGTTGTCGCTCGTCACAGCACGGCAGCCGTCAGTGAAGTTTCGATTTGCTGTGGGGTGGGGGAGGGGAGAGGAGTGGGGAGCAGAGGTTGTGGTGGAGGGGAGTGTTACCCGTGCAAGTTCATTGCACGCACGCACGCACGTGTGTATGCATGAACCACGCGTCGCGTACACATGCTAACATACAACAGCCGCCATTCGCCACTAAGGGGCAGTGACGTCACCACGGCGTTTGTGCCAGGCCAGGTGCACTCCGAGACCACGTGAAGTGTCGAAGACTGACTGCTGGCAGGAGGTCACGGAGCAGACCCAGGTGCCATGGGTTGAACGACTGAGATGACTGTGTTGCATTTTAGCCGCCTGGCATGCACACATGCAACACACAAGCCGTGCACTCTCGAATGGGGGCGAATGGAGGCTTGGAAGCTAGTACGCACAGGATTGTGGGATTTCTCCCCCATAATCCTGCTCTTAGACATGCGCAACTTACAGAGTTGCTCAAACGCGGGTGCCGCACATGGTCCCCATGCACAGAGTTTTGCGTATTCATCTTTGCCCACCTTGTCAATTCAAATGTGCATGGAGTCAATATTACAAATTATCTATGGGAAAACATCTAATGTATGTAATACATTACAAAAACGTGCTATGAAGAAGGGCCATTGCCACCTATTCTACATTTCCTTTTCAGGCAGTGTTTTTGACGAATGTATTGAGTTTCATCTAGGAAATATAACACATTATGACGATACCGATTAACTTAACAGCAATGTTAAGAGTGAGGGAGTGTAGTTGGTGGTGGCTATGAAACCAACGATTTAAGTTTTATTCTCAGCCACTGGCAACATCAGCGGGGAGAGATATCAGCACTGAGGTCCTTGGGAGTTTCCCCCCCCCCCCCTGCCCCAACTCGCCTTTATCCAACCCGCACATATTAGGGTGAAGTATGGTCAAACAACCCCCATGACCAAGTGTCGGGATGCAATTAATCTCGTACTGGAATCACAAGGGGCTGTAAATGATAACTTTTCTTGGATTTAGAATACATAGCAGGTGGTTACTGGGTATGAATAACAATTATTGGAATAAATATTTACTCATGAAACCAAGTGAGCATCCAACACACTTTTTCAAAAGGGTCCTGCTGAGGATGATTGCAATTTCCTTGCCGATTCGCTATGCGTGTAGTAGGAATTGGGAGTACCTGGAGAACGTACACCCATTTTAGGGGATACCACTCAAAGGTTTACATGAAATGATTCAAGAATCCACTCACTGCGCTACCCATGTCCTGGCGCCCTCAGAGCTCAGTGCGTTTGAGAGTTTCACAAGTCAGTGGATCCACCAATAATCGCCTCCAAAGTGCTGCATTGCAGGCATGAGCTTCTGCACCTGGCTCAACCTACTTGCTGCACTGCAATATAGCAGCCACCGTATAGGTCTGTAAAATGGGAATCTTGTCAACGTGACAAACACTCTCCATGATCCGCCAACCCCTGCATCATCCAAAGCGCTGGATTTCACACCGATGTTTCCCCATTGAAAATAAAATAAAATTACAAACTCAAAACGAGTCAAACGCAGCTCCCAACTGCGTGCAGCCTGGTAACCTCGCCTCACTTTAGTCGCACGCCTCCCGTCCCCGACGCGGACCTAAACCTCGCCATCCTGCTGAGGTGCTCGTGCGAAATCCTGGAGCGGATCAGGCCCGGAGCCAGAGTAGGGGACAGTCGAGCCCCAGGGTTCGGTAAAGAAAGGGAGAGGTTGGGAGAGGGAGAAGGATAGGTGGGCAAAGGAACAGGAAGACGGGTCAGAGGGAGAGAGAGGTGGGAGAGAGGGACAAGGAGAGGGAGGTTGGGAAGAGTAAGAAATAGGTGGGAGGAAGAGAGGGAAAATATGGTTGGAGGGAAATGGCAGATGAATTGGAGTACAAGGATGTTGTTGGCGGTGGTCGAATGGGTGGATGAGAGATGGCCGAGTCAAGTAAATTAAGAACGTGTGAAGGATGGGGTTCACAGTTGCTGGGGAGACGGGACGGAGGTGGGTGAGACGGGCGGGGAGGGAGGGTGGTGAAACGAATGAAAAGCGACAGGATACAGGTGTGGGAGGAAGAGTGTTTATCGATGGCAAATAAAATGTGATGAAAAGCACAGAGCACATAGAGACACAGACATCAGAACACCATGGAGAAATAGGACAAAGAAAGGCAATATACGGGAGAAAGGTGCCAAGTCGGGATTGTTGTGTTAAATCGGTGCTCATTCACAGCACTTGACCTGAGAGTTTTTAAGAATAACCCAAGCGAAAGTGCTAGTCAGCAACTATGAAGGCTGGCACAGTAATTAGTAGTCGTGTTAGTATGTGCATCTGTCCTGGCCTCCCCCCTAGGTCGACTCCACCTTACACGAGTGTGGTTTGCAAATATGAACACTGGAAAAGCTCATGGTTAAGGCCACACCATTCCCTCGTGCCACCTGACCTGAATAGATCGTCGCTGACGGTGTACTCGCCAATAAAGCTAAAGAAGCGATCTGCCCCTGTGAGTGAGTGCCCTGGATGTGCGTGTGATTGTGTTTGTATGCGTGCGTGTAAGTGGCCTGTGAGTGGGGAGCAGTAGTGTGGCGGTTTACTGCGCAGCGCTGCAAACCTGGCGACCTGGGTTCGACTCCCGGTCATGGCCAAGATCAGTGACTATTATATTATCTGAACCAGTCCTGGGCCTCCCCTAGGTTGACTCAGCCTTAAAATGAGGACCTAGTACAGTGTGCAAACATCGCCACAGGGGAGACAAAGGCGGCTGGGTGTGGTGCTAGCCGCCTACCCCCTCGTGTGTCGTGCTGGCCTTCATAGGTGCTCGTTAACAGCACTTGCTCCTACAGTCTATTAAGGCTATATGGAGGAACTTTGTTTTTTGCACTGTGAGTGAGTGCCTTGTGTGCATCTGTATCTTTGTCTTTGCTCTTTGTGTCTGAGTGAGTGCTATGTGTGTTTGTATGTATGCATGCGAGTGTGTATGTATGTATTTATGTTTGTGTGTGATTGTACGCGTCAGTGTGCGCGTACGCACCGTTTAGCCGCCATGCGAGCGAGCACGCGGTTTCCGGTGAGGAAGGTGATGATGCCGAGCACAAGCAGATACTTGAGCGTCTGGAACATATTCAGCTGCGTCCAGAACACGAACATAAGCCCCAGCATGCCTGCTCGCACACAAGAGACACACGCAGGCACTGCATGTAACAACAGCCGCTGTTCGCCGCTAAGTGTTGATGTTGTCGCCACGGCGCTTGTACGAGGCTAGGTGCACTTTGACGTCACGTCAAGTGTGGAAGGCTCGCTGCAGACAGATCATGAGACAGATCCATGTTTCGCGGATTAAATCAATGACATGACTGGCAGATGGATCTTCTTTGCTCACAGCAGGAACAACTTGCTGTGGTTTTGCAGCTTAGCACTCTGCTTGCTTTGGTGAGCGTTGCTCACCTGCCCTTCTTTCTTACTCAAGGGCAATTGCCTTCAATTTCCCAATAGCATCCTATACCAGTCACCTCCACAGAGACCGATCTTTTTTGTGTGTTCAGTTTGTTGTCCATCCCCCGCACCTCCGATTAGCATGACTGGCTACGTACGGTGCGAATGAGGTTCAACATACATACCTACTGCAAGCTTTACTCAGCTGCATATATTTCAATACCACATCAGCATATCCCTTCTCAAGCCTGTGCCATGCCCCTTTAGCCCCCTCTATCTGGCAAAAGATATGTTGCTTGAGCAAGTGGTGGCTGGGCCTATGGGCTACATGACACAGGCAATATATCCTTGCCTTTCAGGAGTTCACTCCTCATAAAATCC